TCCCTTGGAAAAATAAGACCACTCGCAAAATCCTTTTTGTGTTTAATTCTTCATCAGGCAAGTCGCTTGGAAAAATGAAACCACTCGTGAAATCCTTTATGTTTCTTCTTCTTATTGGGTAGGTTGCTTGAAATAATTAGACCACCCACAAAATCCTTTTCGCATTTTATTCTTCAACGGGCAGGTTGCCTAGAAAAATAAAACCACTTATGAAATCCTTCATGTTTCTTCTTCCTATCAAGCAGGTCGCCTGGCAAATTGAGATCACTCTCGAAATCCTTCATGTTTATTCTTCATATCAAGCCAGTTGCCTGGAACAATTAGACCACTTGCGAAATCCTTTTCACGTTTTATTTTTCATCAGGCAGGTCGCCTCGAAAAATAAGACCACTTGTGAAATCTTTCAAGTTTTTTCTTCCTATCGGGTAGGTTGCCTAAAGAAATGAGACCACTCGTGAAATCCTTCACATTTCTTCTTCTTATAAGGTAGGTCACCTGGAACAATTAGATCACTCGCAAAATCATTTTCACATTTTATTCTCTATTAGGCAGATCACCATGAACAATTAGATCATTTTTTAAAAAAAATAAAAAAACAAAAACAAAAAAGGGGAAGAGTTTTTACACTTATTTTTCTTTACAAAACTTATTATACAAAGTTAGATGAAAAGGAATTTTTCAATGCCTTTACAGTGTAAGCATTGTGAAGAGGGGGTAATTGTCATAACCTGATTTTTTACAACATAAAATTCAAAAAAAATAAAATGAATGAAAAATTAAGGTTTTGCTCAAGACAACACAAATTTAAAGCTTCGAGGGGTTAATCATGTTGGATTTATGACTTTGAAAGTTGATTTTGAAATAAATTGAAAGAATTAACTAGTATGGGGTTTCAATTAAACTTTCTTGGGGTTTAATTAATGATATTAGTAATTTGATTGAAAAATGAATGAGTTTGAGAACTTAATTAAGCTTAAAATTAGTTTAATTAATAAAATCAGGGATATAATTGGATAAATTAGATTTATGAATCAATTAAGGACAAAATTACAAGTGATTAAGGTCCAAGGATCATTTTGTAAAAGGCGCTAAAATTTTGTCCAGGGGCCTAATTAAAAATGTTGAAACTTGGAGGACCAAATTGAAAAATGGTCATTTCCAGTCCAAAACACATCGTTTCAAGCATATGTTGTTTCTCTTCTTCTTTCTTGGACGTTGAAAGCCCGCCTGCAAAGAATGAATGGAAATGGTGAAACATCAGCATTCCATTCTAACTAGTACTCAATTTGCAAATCTTATCTTTGTGAAGATTACAACCTCGGGGAGATGAGGATAAATTTCTCACGTCCTCGTGCTTATAAAAGGGAGTTCAACAAGGGTGGGACTGTCGGTGCCTCAATCCAACTGAAACACAATGTCCTTAGGCCTTATCATGGTCCTAGGAAGATATGCAACATGAAAGCCTATAAAAGGTAAAAGGGAAGAAAGCTAAAGAGGAGGAAAATCAAGAAAAAAAAAAGATAGAAAACAGAGAGAATGAGAGAGAGAAAAGGAGAGAAAGAATCAAAAAAACACAAAAAAAAACACAGTATAAAGGCAAGAGGAAGAAGGAACAAATGGGAGGAAAACAAAAGCAGAAGGAATAATACCAGTTTTCCTAACAACGAGCGTCTTCATCAATCTTCGCCCAAGAAGTTGGCAACACCAGTCTAATAACAAGTAAATCATTTCATCCCCACCTTTTCACTTTTAATTGCCCTCTTCTTATAGCAAGTGTTAGCGAGTAGCTCGTGCATACTTGCAAAGAAAAATATATCGGTTGGGTTACTAGTCTAAACTAGTAACCAAGTCGGTTTGGCTGGCTTTAGCCCAGCTTGCATGGCTGGGATAGATCCAGCCCATAAAGAAAAAAAGAAAAAAAAGTGGGTTGGGTTTGGGCTTTCGGCCTAACCAGCCCAAATTATGTTTACTAAGGGTGTGTTTAGTAAAACAGACCCTTATGACTTGGCCATAATTTTATATCCATTCTAATTTTATACTTGACCAAACAAACTCCTTTTCAATAATAGAAAATTTCAAAAATATTTAGGGGGCCTTCGTTGATTTATTTGTGGACCCTTTGCACTTTTTTTTTGTGTGTTTGTATTTTTTGTAATTATGTGCTCAATCTTTGGACTGTTACTATTAAATTCAAATATATCATGCAATGTTTTTTTTTATTTTCATCTAAAAAAGGGCAAATAATAATAGAGGATAAACAAGAAAAAATGGCATAGAAAATTTCTTCTTCAAATTCTTTTTTTTTTTTGCAAAATTATTCACTGATGTCAGAGTCAGGAATATCGTATTTTTTTATTTGCGCGATATTTACCAATGCTAGACTTGAAAATATTAGTAAAAATTATTCATTAATGCTAGAGTCGAAAACATGAAAGGAAGAATAAAAAAGGTAAAAAAGAACAAATTATTAGCAATTTTAGACAAAACTAGCAATGCAACTTGTCTTAGGTAGGACACTTAAGGGGTAATAGTATCTTTTCTTTTTAAGTAACCAACTCTATACTATAGATCTTTGTTAACTAATTAGGGTTCTAGTGACCATAATACCAGGTGGTGACTCCTTGAACAAGATATTTTTTTTAAAAGAATAAAATGTCAAATATTTATTATTTTTCCATTCACTGAGTAAATTTTTAATTAATCACCGTGATGTTTGGGTGTGATATTTTATATTGATAAAGAGGTAATTAACTTTCAAATTCCTGCTCGTTCACCATTTAGTTTTTCATCTAGTTTTCTAGTTTACTGTGTTCAATAATTTGTTTTATGAATGGGTAAAGATTTGATTAAATAATAAAAAAAAAAAAAAGTTTACAAGACTTAATTACAAAGAGATAACAAGAGCATCTCTTAGCTAAAAGTTAATTCCACACAAAATGAATAAATAAATAAATAGAACAACACGAAAACATTGGACTACAGTAGTCTGATGAGAATTATGTGCCAATGACATCATGGACTAGGTGTCAAGGACTCATGTATAGAACACTCACAACACAAAAACATCTTTACTTATCTAACAACATATTTCCTAATTCTAGCAATAATGTGCAACAAACTCAGTCACCCTTGCAAAATTCAATTGGGTTTTATGGAATGTTGGTTACTTTACACTTTGAATTATTTCGATTGGTTCCTTTTTTTCTTTTTTTGTTATTGAGTCACTCTTCTCTTCATTTTTTTTTTTAAGCTGAGTAGGTCCCTCCATCTCAACGAACGTCATTTGTAAGATGATTAATTGTATTTTTTTATGGCAAAAAATAGCAGAATGCTTGACACATGTTCCTTGCTAAGTCGCAATTAAGATATATCTTCTACGTAAAAATAAAAGATAGAAGAAAGAAGATCGTGTGAATGAACAATATGTTAAACAAACCATTGCGCGTAGAATAATTAATTACAAGAAAACAAGGCAATAAGTAAAGTAGAGATTGAGCTACTGGCCGAAAAATCTTAAATGTATTTTTTATAAATCCAAACTGAGCTATAAAATTCAATAATACAATAATGAATATCTGAAAACCCATAATTAATTAATTTGATCAAACATCTTTTTCTTGTCCTACGTAACACGAGAAGCAAGCCAAAATCATTAATCCAAACCCCAAAATCACTCTCAAATTCTTAAAGTCTTCATTTTCTTCTTCAAATTACAAATTTAACTTAGTTCGATGCTTACAATTTTACAAAATGGCGAATCAAGTAGATTAAGGGACGCGAGAACTACAACAGTAGGGTTTCAACAACTAAATTAAAGTTGAAATAAGACAGAAAGTCCCCTAAATTTTGAGAGGTTGCCAAATGTCTAACTAAATATGGTTGGTTTGAACACATGCATCTCCATGACCATATATGTGTGTGTGTGTGTGTGTGTGACTGGCCAAACAGCGATTGAAATTAAAGCCTTCAAGGCAAGCTCTAGATTTGAAAAGGGATGAAATTTTATAACAATTTAATTAACTACTGCTATATATATATATATATATATATATTTCAGTTTCCGCATCTATAATCTAATCGTAAGCCATTTCTTAATTACTGCTAATCATGCATCTTCAAATAGAAGAAGGCATACAAAGCAACAAGCCAAACACTAGACATTTGATAACTGCTTGTTTTGACCAACAAGTTGAGGCCAATTGGCAGCTCTTAGACGCGAAGAAGCACGTGTTAATCGTAGTGCCCGCAAAACCCCTGTTATTAGCAGTCAATCATATACTTGGTCAGTCATCTAGCTTTAACAATATTTAATTAACACCCACAGTTATATCAAACCTTTCATATGAAAACAATGGTTTATTGCGTAGAGGGCTATCTAAGATCCTAAGAAACTGGATTAATTTCAAGCTTCATAATTACTTGGGGTTATTAAGTAATGAATGAATCGTCCCCTTCAGTATAAAATCCTTTTATAGAAACTTTGTATTTACTTCTTGATTATGGTTTATAAAATAAAATTAAGCATATTAAGCTTGAAGTAAAAATGACCCACCTCCAGCTTTCTAATACTTCGGATTAGTTACGTGAGCCCCCCCCCAACCCACACACCTTCGGATTAGTTACGTGAGCCCCCCCCCCAACCCACACACACCACACACACACACACACACATTTTTGGCGTGGTCAACCCATAAAAAAAAGGTTAGGTTATAAGATTCCTATGAGACCGTTGTCATGGAAAAGAGAGAGAGTAATCAAGGGCTATAGCATGTTTTAAGGTGAATTGCATTGTGTTCGTTGACGGATCAATCTAGAACTCAAGCATATGCTTTTATGGTTAAAACAAGTACTACTGATCCCTATAAATTGAAAGTGTTCCCTGAATTTTCACTTATTTTATTCAATATGGTCCCTACTTGGTTACGTCTCCTTATAATATAAACAGCCTTGCAAGGTAAACAAGCCGGCCGAGTCGGCTGGCATGGCAATGAAAATGACCACATTACCATTTGTCTTGTTTAAAAGAAGAAGCTCCTTTGGAGAAGCTCAAATGAATTTCGCAAAAATATTCCCTGGTGCTAACTATGGGCTCATCCTTGAGTTGCTGTGGAAACGACAAGGTTGATGAAGCGTACGTAGAATCCATCGTTAATATTAATAGATGAATATTTTAGAGTTATTGTGTAGTTGCATTAGATATGCCTAACAAAAGTAAATGATGTATTCGATTAACATAAACTTTGATGTGGGTTGCGAGATTTTGCAGGACAAACATAACAGGTGGAGCTGGTAACAATACATGGAGGATATTCACATACAAGGAGTTGCATACAGCGACTAATGGTTTTAGTGAGGATAATAAGCTTGGAGAAGGAGGCTTTGGAAGTGTCTACTGGGGTAGAACTTCTGATGGTCTTCAGGTAATTATTAATTATGTGGGGTAAGCATTTACACATGTTATTTTGGTCACAATGGTCTGACATTATTCTAATTTTGCTCTTCAAAATGAAGATTGCGGTGAAAAAGTTGAAGGCAATGAATTCGAAAGCCGAAATGGAATTTGCTGTAGAAGTTGAAGTTCTTGGAAGGGTTCGGCACAAGAATTTGCTAGGCCTTAGGGGCTATTGTGCTGGCACTGATCAACGGCTCATAGTATATGATTACATGCCTAACCTCAGCTTGCTGTCTCATCTCCATGGTCATCTTGCTGGGGACGTTCAGCTAGATTGGAAGAAAAGGATGAAGATTGCCATTGGGTCAGCAGAAGGCCTACTGTAAGTTTCACAAGTTCCTGTATCTGACTCTCATTTACATAGCCAAATGAATTGAATTTGTCCACAAATATCACGTGCAGATTTTGTAGAAATTAAAAATGTTTGTCAATGGTTGCTGTACGCGTAAGCTTGCAATACATTGTTTCATATTTATTTCTGTCATATAAATCAATCCTGGTAAAATATTGTTTGAACTAGACCCGTGTAACAATAGTAAAATAAGGATTTCTATGTTAATTAAGATTTAATCAAGTCTAGTTTTCATTTTGAAGCAAGATTCTCTCTCTTTTTCTGTACCAAAAATAGAAACATTTTTGCTGGCGCACCCAAATAAAATTCTGTTCCATTCCAGAATTCTACAAAATGATTCAGTCCAATTTTATTAGGTACTTGCACCATGAGGTCACACCCCACATCATTCATAGGGACATAAAGGCAAGCAATGTACTGCTGGATTCAGATTTTGAGCCTCTTGTTGCTGATTTTGGTTTTGCGAAGCTAATCCCAGAAGGAGTTAGCCACATGACCACTCGTGTTAAAGGAACTTTAGGGTACCTAGCTCCTGAATATGCTATGTGGGGTAAGGTATCAGAGAGCTGTGATGTGTACAGCTTTGGTATTCTCTTGCTAGAAATTGTCACAGGAAGGAAACCGATAGAGAAGCTCCCTGGTGGTGTTAAAAGGACAGTAACAGAATGGGCAGAACCATTGATAACCAAAGGGAAGTTCAAGGACCTTGCTGATCCAAAACTTAGAGGCAATTTTGATGAAAACCAATTCAAGCAAAGTATTAATGTTGCTGCCTTATGTGTTCAAAGTGAGCCTGAAAACAGGCCTACCATGAAGGTTGTTGTTAGCATGCTAAAAGGGCATGATCCAAGAGGCAAGGTGATGCAAACAAGAATTAAAAGTGTCAAGTACAAGGAAGAGTTGCTGGAACTTGACCAGACTAGTGACGGTGAAAATGATGGTGGTGGTCTTGAGGAAAGTGAGTGTGGAGTTTTTGGTCCCATGGAGGTGCAAAAAATGCAAGACCCTTATATGCGTCGTGGAGATGGCAAGAAAATAGGAAAAAAAATGTGAGAAATGAGTTAGTACATGTATGCTCCTTGTCAGCATGAACAAGTAAAATTCCATGGCAAGAGATAAGGAATGGTGTAGTGAAGTTGCTACTGTTAAAATGTATTTATAATTGACACTTTTAATCCTTGTTCGCTTCTTCTTGTTTTGTATAACCTCTGAGAATATCATATACTTGAGTTGTTGTAATCGTCACACTGTCAAGATTTTGAACTCTTTCAAAACGAGGTTTTTTTATTCTTTATTTTTTATTTTTTCTTCGCAACAATTAGACAAGAATCCAAAACAAAAACCTAACTTGATATGATTCTGTCGGATTTGAGTTCCTTTGAAGTTGGTGTGAATCCTCCCAGGTTAGTGCCAACATTGTGTATTATATAATCATGTAAGAGAAATTAAAGTGGTTTTCTTTTACTTGGCATGAAACATCATGTTTAGTACTAATTAACTTAAAAGGAGCTTAAATAATATGGTTACATTAAATAATATATTTTTTAGTTAAATAAAATATCACATTATTTTTTAGTTTTGATGTAGATCATTGGAAAAATAGATTTGAAGAGTGTTTAGAAATGTGATTTATTTTTAAAGTATTTTTTTTGGAAATATATCAAAATAATTTAAAAAAAAAAAACTTATTTTTAATATCACTGTATTAAAACAATCTAAAAATACTAAAAACATATTAATTTAAAATAAAAATATAAAAAAAATTAAGTGTTTTTAAAACAAAAAAATAAATAGATTTTTAATATGAGTAGTCAAATCTTAATTTATAAAAGAATTCAAATAATAAAAATTTATTATACTTTTTATAATTATGATTAATAAGAAATTAAGTTTACTCACAGATAAAATCCTAGTTCAAAAATTGAATTCTAAAAGCTTTGTATGTGAGTGAGAAAGAGAGAGAGAATCATTTGTTTATAGGATTGCCATCTGGTTAGCCAAAGTGCATTGATATTATTAATTAATTAAAAAAATATAATTAATTTATATTTTATTAATCAAGTTTATATAACTTGATTAGATGCATCATCAAATTATAAATTATATGAAACAACTTAAAAATAAAAACATACGGTTAACTATAAAAAATTGTTTTAAATTTATATTCTTATTAACCACATTAAATTTAATATTATTTTAGAGAGGGATTTAATTTTAGTTTGAGGTGTAAGGTGATTCAAAAATATTATTATTATCAAAGATATTTTATTTTGATTTTAATATTGTTTATATGCTCGTATTTTATCAACAATAGTTTACAAATTTATAATTATTAATAAAAGCAACCTCGACAAAAATAATTTTAAATTTTAAAAATTATTATATATGTTAAGATTATTTTATCAGTAAATATAGCATGTTTTATCTTTAAATAAATTTGACATGCCAGATTTAAAGAATTTTTATTCCATATATAAGAAAAATAATGAATTTTTTATATCCAATACATGATATATTAATATAATTTCTTAAAAAATAGCTTAATTTGGTTTTCTCCATTATATACTTATTTATACATCACTTAATAAAGGGATAATGATAACAAAAAAAAAACATTCATATATTTTGATTTGTTTTTCACTTTCCCTTTAAAATTTGGAAAATTACACTTTTCCCCATGTTTTACTTATATTTTACTTGGATCAGCAGCAACATGTCAGTCAAATAATTAATGAAGAGCTTTAGCTACCATTAACCATTCAGTGAAACAAGTTAATAAAAAAATATCTAAATATATTTTTATCTCCTCTCCTTTTATTTAACTATTATCTCAATTCAAACAACTAGACGGTTGTCTTTGCAAGCCTATCCAAGCCCATTAAGAGGTTGGAAGTCATCTTTTTAAAAAAAAATCACAATTGACATTATTTTTTAATAAGTTGTATTTAATTAAGCACTTTGAACTAAACAATTTGTTATTTATAAAATATAAGTTATAATAGTATATGTATTTTTATATTGATGATAAATAATATTGTTTTCATGATCTTTGATGCAATGAATGAAATATGACTTCTTCTTTTTTTAAGAAGTATAATATTGTATTAGAAGATACCAAGATTTGGTAGGGAAGACATAGAAAACATAAAATAGTATGCTTACAACTCGAGTTTAGAATATTTATTAAATGAAATGAACAACAAAACCAAGAAATCAAAATAACACCTAAAAGATGCAGATTTGATGGCACACCAGATTGAATTGTCGAGCAAACTTCCACCTTGATCCATATTTAAATTAAAAAAAATTCTTTTCGTCTTTCCTCTTCTTAACCAAAACAAAATTTGGTATCACTTATGGGAGTTAGTCATGGCTTCTCTAGAAAATCAACCTTTAACACCTTAACAACTAGAGGAATAAGATCCCGCACCACACTAAAACAAAGAAAACAGAGCAAACAGATACAAAACCATCAAAAAACCTCACCTAAACCTGCAGCATCAGATTCTGCTACAAAAAAGTTACACACAAGATAAAGATCTAACAAGGTCAAATTGTCTCTGAAAATCTTGATGATTCAACTCCTTTTCAGAAACAGAGCATTTTACCAATCATTGGCACACACCAAACGGGATCCTATAACTTTCCATCAAAATACTACATGAGCCCGAACCCAGCTTGAGAAACAATCAAGTTTACTAAAGAGCCATAACAAAAAATTAAAGAAATAGAAGACTCATATATGAGGCAAAAATTAGAGCCATGTGACAAATTCAGTGTTTCTAAATACTCTCTATTTAGCCATTTAATTTGCCATATAATTACTCTTACAAAAAAAATGAGTGAATCAAATCATGAAGCTAATATCTGAATAAGAGAGAAAAGATTATGATGTAGTCAAGGCCTTTTATAGAGACTATTCATCCATCTAATAACAATGGTAGAGTCAAATTCAATAATAATGTGTTTATGATGCAGGCGATAATTCAAGACCGATAATTCAATAGCTTTAACAACCGCTTTTAGCTCGGTTATATTAGAGTCTAAAATCCTAATTGACAAGGAGAAAATACCAAGAAGAATCCCATTATGTATTTTTATTAGTCATGGTAGTTTATAAATTATAAGTCGTAGTAGTTTACGTATTTTTGTATTAAAATAAACAATATTGTTTTCATCATTTTTAATGCATCGATTGAATATGAATCATCTACTTCTTAGCTATCTCTATTATTGCTTCTTCTTTTCAATATAAAGATTTAATATTTTTATTTATTTAGTTAGATATTTTATTTTAAAAGTGATTAGAGAGTTTTTAAGATTGAAAATGAACTTATTGGGATTTCTATGATGTTTTTATTTGTAGAGTGTTTTCAAACAATAATAAATTGAAAAACAAGTTTTTTGGGTTTCAAAATTCAAATCTTGCTTCTCTATTATCATATATGATTGGAAAATATACCAGTGCACAATACTTTGACTTGTCAAATGGATAATATGCCATCCAATTTTTTTATTTGTCATCAAGTTTATTTTTATTAAAAAATAATAATTGAATGGATAACAATACATCCATCTATTATTTTTAAAGATAAAAAAACAAAAAAAATTGTAGTGTATTGTATATTTATAAAAACAAAAATCATATGTACTTAGTTGACTACGGTAAATCTCCATAATAAATAAAGGAATATGTATAAAATGAAAAAGGATATTGAAGTTACTTGTATCTATCTTTTACTTATTACTAGAAAAAATAATTTCTCACTTTAATCATTAATCAGCTTTTATAATTTTTTATTTATCAATTAATATATTTATTAATTATTATACTAGATATAAATATAATCTTTCTATTTTTTAATTAATGAATTATATAATACTAAATGCTTTCATTTCACATCCAAAATTAATTTCAAATTCTCACAGCATCGTAACACGAATACATCTGCCAGTCCTTCCTACGAAGTTGGTGTCATCGATAAAAGTGACTCGGCTTATACAGGAGAGCCCGCAGCCCAAGCTTAAGAGGTTAACAATCACTTAAATACAAACAATCCAGTATAGAGCGGTTGGATCGACCTGCTGGGGTTCCAAACAGTGATCGATTAACACCATTTTCTTGAGTTTTTGTGGATCGGTAAGCTTAGCCCACTGGACCGAGTTTCTTGGACCCGGCTGTCTATTTCGACCGATGGTAAATAGTTGAATTTCTATTTGCTTTCATTTGGAACCAAAGAATCGAAAATCGAACAATTTCTCCGATGAATTCATGGAGATAAGGGGTAATCATCACCTTCACATGAAATCTAAATTGATGGATTGCATGGAGTTAAGATGTTAAAATCTTCTCTCATCTCCTCATCTGAACTACTAATGTTTATAGAAAAACAGGGCAGTAATAGAAGTCTCCATGATGCGGTCATCATGTGGCATGAGAATCCTGACACACGAAGTCCTGTACGGGGACGGCAATGGCGGGTATCTCTTCTGGCTGGCCTAATAAAATACCAATTAAAAATATTCAAGGCCGATCAGGTAATACAATAAAATACCTGTTAATATGACTTATGGGTACTCACTTTATCCTTGGTTGATGCTTGCTGATAATTTTTTTTTTTCCTGATAATTTTTTTTTAAAAAATAAAATATAAGTACTTCTTATTTATTTTCATGGCATGTTTTTTAAAAATATATTTTTATTTATTTATTTCAAATTAATATATTTTTAGTATTTTCAATCCTTTTTATGTGCTGATGTTAAAAATAATTTTTAAAAAATAAAAAAATTATTAGCATGTATTTTCACATAAAAAATTATTTAAAAAATAACCATAACCACAACCACACTCCCAAACAAACTTAAATTAATAACCTAATTTTAAGTATTTTTACTTGAAAGCACTTAAAAGCATCACAAAAAATTTTATAAACCATTTATTAATTAAAAAATCACTCCAAAAACTAAAATCAACTAAATAAAAAAAATTTAGGGGGAACCTGATTTGCTTTTTAATGTATATTTATAAAAAAATATTTATAATTAAAATTTTCTCATCAAATAAAACTTATTAAGGGCAAAAAAAAACAAGTTTCATTACCTAAAAGTAATTATTTGCCAACTTTTTTTTTGTTCTTCATCTTATCTAGGCGACTTTGTTTTTCTTTTTTGAAACTTAGGTTGAAATATTAAAAAAA